GGTAAACCTGGTGTATGTCTTAGTACTTGGCACACAGTAGGATATCAATAAGCCCCCTGGAGAAATGTATAAATGAGCAAATGAATAAACGAAATGACTACTCTCTCCCATAATCTTAACTAAATCCTCCTTGGAAGTTTCCTTGACATCTGTGCCAGTCTGCTTATTATAATGGCCCAGGCCAAATGTGCATAAAAAGCATCAAAAAGTAATATATATTTCACACTCCTAAACAGCAGCTGAAATCATCATCGAAGAAAAACAACCAACACAGACACACACAGAGAACAAGAAAGAAACCAGCACTGGTTTCCATGACATTTCACTATTTATTTAAAATGTTAGGAAAATGAATATGCCACAAAGGCTGAACAGCAATCATTAGTCAAAGATGAAAAGGCAAACTGCAAATCAGCCGAAAACCACAAATTCAACAACTGCATTGGCTGAGTTAGAAACAACCCAGCATTAATGATAATCTCAAATGTTCCTGGACCAAGAAAGAAGGGGTAGATGGAAAATAAGTTTTAATTTCTTTAGATTCCTTTCTTTAAGGGGGAAAAAATTAAAGCAAAACAAAAACCATTATCTGCGTCCCATGTCAGATGCCAACTGTAATGATTTAAGTAAAACATTTCTTAGTAATCAGAGCAGAAAATGGAAGTAGTCCTTTATTATGACACTGGAGTGATGTGATAATGAAATTAAATACCCACTGGAACTTGATCTTAGCTGGGAATCATAAAGTGGACAGTTAATACATCAAGGTAGGAACTTTTGCCAAGAAGGCAAAATCCTTCTTATGACATTTTTGCAGAAATAAAATCCACCGACATTTGAAAAGATTATTTTGCTCATTAGGAGAAGCAAGGTGATCACACAGACTGCAGGGTGGCTCAGAACTTAACTGCACTGGGACACTCAGCCCTAGAGGAAGACCGATCAGTGCTGGGAGCAATTTACATCCCTCACTCTGAACTAGTCTTTGAGACCGTGAGGAACAAAAGGGTAATGGAGTCACTACATACATTTGTCAAGTGGCTAAACGAGAAGGTATATTTTACAAAATCTACTTACAATAAAGCTAAAATGATTTATACTTGCCCAACAAGAACATTCCTTAAAGGATCACAGGCCAAAATGGAACACTTCCTAGAAAGGCGTATTCCCAAGGTACGCAAGCGCTTACAAATACAATCACAAAAGACATAATTTAAGCTTAAATGTCATCTTTTTAAAGAATTTCTTCCATGGTTCACCCCAGAGATTGGCAAACAATTTCTTCCCTAAAATCTGAGAAGATTAAGAGAAATTTAATGAGTTTAAGTGAAGCAATAGAAAAGATTTCTTTGAAATAACCTCCAGATTCTACAGCAGAGTTATGTCCCACAAAATATCTCCCCTGGGGAGAGGCAAAGAAAGGAATAGAAATAAGTAATGAGCATTTACTAAATGCCAATACTGTACTGTGCTTGGTGCTGGGGACCCAGAATTGAAACTAATAGTCCATCTCCTCAATTTAGAACAGTCTGCAAGGAGAGACATTGAAAAGTCAAAAATAGCAATCTTGTGCTGCAAGTGCTATGCTAGAGGGAGGCTCTGATTCGCGGGGCAGGGGAGAAGCATCAGGAAGGCCTCTCGAAAAGGGCATAATTATTTAAAGTGAATCTCTCTTTTTTTTTTTTTTTTTTTTGAGACAGAGTCTCGCTCTCTTGCCCAGGCTAGAGTGCCGTGGCGTCAGCCTAGCTCACAGCAACCTCAAACTCCTGGGCTCAAGCGATCCTCCTGCCTCAGCTTCCCAAGGAGCTGGGCCTACAGGCATGCGCCACCGTGCCTGGCTAATTTTTTCTATTTTTAGTTGTTTTTGGCTAATTTCTTTCTATTTATAGTAGAGACAGGGTCTTGCTCTTGCTCAGGCTGGTTTCAAACTCCTGAGCTCAAGCGATCCTCCCACCTCGGCCTCCCAAAGTGCTGGGATTACAGGCGTGAGCCACCGCGCCCGGCAAAGGGCTCATCTTGATCTGCACCCACCACTCGACTCCCTCACTCTCTCTGTCTAAACTGGGTCTAAACAACTAAGATACTTACTCTCCATACCACTTAGTTCAACATTTAGCTGCTTTCTAAATGCCTTTGTGCTCCCAACTAGACCACAGGAGGCTGGTTTCACACGTGGCTGGTTTTGCATGTGGCTGGTTTCTCCCAGAAGGCCCCACACCGTGGCTGTCAGCCTCAGCTGCACACTGGCACCACGGGGGGCTTTAACCCCATCCCCCACATCCAGGCGACACCTCAGGTCCCCACTCCGGGAGTGGGAGCCAGGCATCAGAATGTTAAATTCCCCAAGTGGTTCCAGTATGCAACCAAAGTTAAGAAACACATACCTAGAAAAATATGACACCAAAAACAACTTGCTGATTCAACCAATTCTCTGTGTGACTGCGTGTAACTGTAAACAAGAATGAGAGAGACACAGAGCGACACACGGTGAGCAAGAAAGAGGCTACTTGGGATTGTGTAAACTGGGTTCCTCACCCTCGGCACTATTGACATTTTGGGCCGGATAATTGTATGTCGTGGGGGGCTGCCCTGTGCATAGTAGGATGTGTAGCAGCATCCATGGCCTCTACCTGCGAGATGCCAATAGCACCCCCCTCCCAACAGTTGTAACAACCAAAAGTGCCTCCAAACATTGTCCAATGTCCCTAGGGATGCAGAAGCGAAATCCCCCTTGGAGGAGAACTACGGGTGTAGACCAACCACCAAATAATTGAGTGCATATTTATTTCACATTTCAATGGTAAGTCAAGTTACATGACCACTTTTCCAAATAGTAAATTGCAAAGTTGGAGGCAAGCAGAGAGTTGTCAAAGATTAAGGGAGATGATGACCATAAGCCAGAAAAAGGCAAACAGAGACAGCGTTTTTGGAAGTTTTGAGCAGGGGAAGGACCACACAAAGCAGAGTTTTAGGGACAAAGTCTAGCATGGCGTGTAGGCTGGCATGGGGATGGTGGGGGAAGGGCTGGAGGCAGGAAGCCAAACTGCAAGGTCCAAACCACCTGCTGACTGATGCCCACAGCGCCTTCAGTTCAGGCAAAAGCTGTTACTCCGCAATCACAGTTCAAAAGAGCCAGGTGCAGATGTTGGCAGAGAGAACGTCAGGTGGCAGGCTTGGGAATCCGTTAGAGCTGCCTCCTGTGTGCCTGGAGCAGAGCACCTGCTATGGGGCCTGTGATGAGTCCCCACTCCCCCTGGGTCCCCAAGGAAGAGCCTTTGGAATGGCCACTCCAGACATCACACCAAAAGCACGTGGGGGCCAGTTAGAGCCCTCCCGCTCAATGCCCTCCTCCAGGCATCCTCCTCCGTGGCTGTCGTGTCCATGCCCCTCACCTCCACCCACCCTCCTTCCTCACCTCTGCCCCCCCACCCCAGCTTCTCTCTATATCGCTCCAAATTCCTCCTCCTCTGCCCACCTCTGAGTGTTGGTGTCCCCAGACTTTAATCATGGGCCTCTTCTCCTCTAACTGCTTCAACCATCTATTTAAAGCCCAGATCTGTACTCCCTCATTTGAAAAATCCTTCGGTTTGCTCTCAACAGAACACAAGGTGAAGTCCAAGATACTCAAACCCTTCTTGGTCCTGCGCCTGCCCATCTCCCAGTCCCCTCCTACCCTGCACCTGGATATTCTGAGCCACCTCTTATTTTTCTTCTTCTTCCAAAAAAGCCACATCCACCCTTAACAGCCTGAAGTGGATTCATTTTTGTCACACTATATAGCAGCCATCTGCTCACTTCCGGCTCCATCACAGCCTCTGAGCAGAAACCCTGGCAACCCACTGTACGGCCTCAGCCCTAGCCGGGTACCTGGTACTTAATACTCAAAAAAGTCGTTACCATTTGCTGAGTACCATTCCAAGGACTTTACTATGAATTATTTTATTTTAACCTCATAAAATTGTGACTTTGTATTATTATTTACCATAAAAATGTTATGGTAACATAAGTAATAATACTTAATATCCCCATTTTATAGATGAGAGTACTGAGGTACAGAAATGCAAGGAACTTCCCCAAGGTTGCACAGTTGGAAAATGGGGAGATTCAAACCCAGTCTGAGCCCAGAGCCCACACTCTTCATCATCGTGCAATACTGCAGCTTAACAAGAGCCTTTTAAACGAAATGATCCAATGATGTGCATGATTCCGCGGTGACTGGAGGTAAATGCAGATCCTTCTGGGCCTTGACATGGAGAGGCAGGAAGGAGAGAAAGAGCGTGGTGCCCAGACGAAGGGGCCAGGATGGGAGACCAGCCTGGGCCACAGACACCCTAACTTTACTGGGTCACTGCTACTTCCCTTCACCTGGGTGGGGCAAAAATACCATGAAAGTCAGTACTGCTTTAGCCACAGGAGCAGCCAAGCACGGCCTGAACTGGGTCCAGCTCTAGTTGCATCCACTAAACTCACAAAAGGAAGTCAGGAGAGGGTGCCTGGTTCAGAAAGACTGGGCAGGTGGACACCATGAACCCACACGGCAGAGCTGAGACCAGAGACCAAAATCAGAGGGACAAGATCCGGGCAGGACCCCACAGGCAGCTGGGACAGAGATTCTGCCTGCCTAGACAGACCATCCCTGCCCAGGCCGCCTGGGGCCCAGGGAAGAGGGAGAAGATGGGTTTGGCTTCAGCTAAAGGGAACAGCTTCCCAGCAGCCAGGTCAGGGGGGACACTCAGCAGTCCATCAGGATTCTGGGGCTGCCGCCGTGGGCCCCACTGTTTCTACCATTTCCTCCTGTGTTCACAGCAGGTAAGTCGGCTGGCGCCTCCAGAGGAGAAAGCACGGAGGTAAAGGCTGAGATTGCGTGTACCTTAGACCTGAAACTCTAGCAGGATGCCCAACTAGCAGCCCACGCTAGGACCAACACCTAGTTTAGTTTTACAATGAATGAGCATTCCAATATTGCATTTTCTTTAAAATTGCCAGAGCCAAGCACTCACCCGCATTGGCTCGTCAGGGAATCCGGGTTTGCTGGGCCGGTCCTGTCGCCGGGATCTCAGGAGCTGTTTGGCCTCCTTTTCCTTCAGAATCGGAGAGGCCTCTGGAAAAGTCAAGAAGGTGCCTTAAGGACTCTCATACTCCATCTCCACAGTCAGAGGCAAAGGATTTGCACGTTCGATTTTGGTTAAAACACTAACGTTCTTTCTCAGGGGCCTGTCCCAAAGGACTTGGCATTCCAGAGGGCCCAGGGAGGAATTTTAAATTGTTTCTAAAATGGTTAACTTAGAGCAAAAGCTGCACAACCTAAATATATTTACTGATTTGCAATGCCTATTCCTTT